TGTGCAAGCCCATTCCACAGCAAATCAGTATCTACTATTACAACCATACTCCTGAGCCTCGAGTGGCTAGTGGCCAAGGCAACAGCTGCACTCTATACAAGATGATCAAAGCATAGCCCTTTCATGTTAGCCTCATCTCTTCTCTCCACTCCAACCCCAAAGATTTGTCCGTGTCTTTGTTATTAGTCCAGAGTGATAGGAGTATGTATCTTATTTTCTTTAATCTCAAGTTTCTGGAACAATTTCCAAAGTGCTGAGCATGAGAAGGGGAAACTTTTTTTTTTTTTTTTTTTTGACAGTTTCTTGTAGCCCAGGCCGGCCTGGGACTCATTAAATAGCATAGGATGACCTTGAACTTCTGATCCTCTTGCCTCTTCTTCCCTGGTGCTGAGATCGCAGGTGGCTGCCACTATAACCAGTGTTTTGTGCTGGCACTCTGCCAGTGCTACACACCCAGCCCATGAGAGCGACCTAAGCATCCACTAAAGCTAAGTTGTCTGAAGCTTTACTGAAAATGCCAATGCCCCATTTTAGGAGACAGCAATGGCCACCCTTGGAGCCTAAAAGTTACTCCCCCCAACTTATAATCAATATCTATAAAATTAGCTACTTTAAATATATGCGGAGAACTGAGTTTGTAAAGGGAAGAGTCTTGCATCTTCTACAGATGCCTTGAAAAGTCAGAGTCTTATCCCAAACTACAGAACAGAAAACCAATTTACAAAAGCTCCAAGTGTGAACCCTAGGGTCACATGGCTATCTGGTGATGAAGGCCAAGTCAAGCCCCTGAACGCCAGTAAAATGTGGCTCTCCTTATGCTCCTTTAACCTATGCATTTTAGAAATAAATGTGTAATGTATACATATCTGTTTATCTACCCGGTGACTACATCAGGGCTCAGTGTGTGATAGGTGGTAGAACAGGCTACAAAACTTGCTGGGGAAACAAATGAACACCCTTGAGTTTTGGATAACAAAAACAGGCAGAAGATTAAATATTTCACAGCACTGGTCAGAAAACTGGCCCGAGAGAGAGAGAGAGAGAGAGAGAGAGAGAGAGAGAGAGAGAGAGAGAGAGAGAGACTCAAAGAGAAAGAGGAAAACTAAAACAACCCACAACAGAACAAAGGGTTGAAAGGGAACCCAATCCACAGACTGAATTTGCACGTATGATTTTGGTGATGTAAAAATGGCTAAAATAAAACAGAACTACAGTTTGCATAGGCAGTGAGTGTCTCCCACGGGGCTCAGGATTGGGAGCTTGACTCAGCTGGTGAGGCTGTTTGGGGAGTATCTGTGAACATGAGGAGGTGTGGCCTAGCTGAAGGAAGTAGGTCACCAGGGGTAGGTCCCTGGGGAGTACCCTGTCCAGGCCCCTTCATGTCCTTCTTTCTTTCCCTCCCTGCTTCCTGTCCGCTTCCACCAGACTCAGCCACCATGATGTTCTGTTCAAGTGCTCTGGCATCAAACTAATCTTTCCATCTCGGAGTTTTTCTCTCAGGTGCCTTGGTCACAGCAATGCAAACGTAACCAAGGAGAGAATAAAGTCCTCAGTGAACATCTCTCTAAAGATGGAGGGAAAGATGGCTGATCAGGCAAACACACTTGTAGTTCATGTCTGACGACCTGAGTTCAATCCCTGGAACTCACAGCAAAAGGAAAGTACTGACTCCCAAAGTTGCCCTCTGACCCCCACATGTACACAGTGGCATGAGCACCCCACCACACACACACACACACACACACACACTGCAGATGAATGTGGGAATGGCCAACAATCACAGGAAACAGTTTTCAACACTGTTAGTCATTAGGGAGCTGTAGATCAAAACCACAACGAGCTACTACTTTATACCATTAGGATGACCGTAACAAGCAACATGTGGCCCATACATACAAAGGAACACTGTGCAGTCGTAGAAACAAGAGAAAAGACCAATACAATGCTGATGAATCTTGAACAACGAAGGCCAACACCTCAAGATTCCATCTGTATGAGAGTAGGCAAATCCAGAAATAGAAAGCAAATTAGTGGCTGTCAGGGGTTAGGGCCATGGAGGAAGGGAGGCTGTTCAATGGGGGAAGGCTGATAGAAAAGTTCTAGAACCAGACAGGTATAATGGTTACATGCCACTATTAATAAACTTAGTGTCATGCCTTAATAGACTTTAAGATGGTAAATTGTATGTAATTATGTACTTTATATTTACTACAATAAAAATATGGTAATTGGACTGGTGAAATGGCTCAGTGGGTGAAGGTGGCCACCAAACTTGATAACCTGAGTTCTATACCAGAAACTCACAGGTTGGAAAAAGTTGTCCTTTGACCTCTACACACATACACTGTAGTGCTTGTACATGTATGTGCACAAGTGTACACACACACACTCACACACAAACAAATGTAATGAACATTTTTTTTTTAATGAGAACCATTTCAGCACTTGGGAGGTAGAGATAGGTGGGCCAGGAGTTCAAGGTCATCCACTGTCAGTTACCACGTTCAAGACCAGCCTAGGCTAAATGAGAACCTGATGGGTGAAGGAGAGGGAGATGAGAATCAAATTTTCCCAGTGCTAAAGTAACTAATATGACGATATACATTCATAAGAGCTAGCAGGCACTGATTCCAAAGGGTAGGATGTTAAGTCACACAGAGCATCAGCACCAGCTTTCATTAAACTCTCACGAATGTCAAGACCGGTGCTGCTACTCTGAGAGGAGGCGACGGCATTACCGAGAGGAGAAACTTCACCGTGCTTCTTCACAGTCAGGCTGTTATCGGGGATGTCACTACATGCAGAGAAGGAAGTCCCAGCATGGTCAGAGGCACTCAGAAAAGGGGAAAGATCAGCCCATCCTCTGTAGGGCACACATGTGGAAGCCATCACCTCCCCCAGAAAGTGCAATGGCAACTGAAACAAAATGCTGCTCTTGATTATCAAAAGTGCTCCAGTTCTAGGATGCTCCTAGGATGCCCCTGGCACCACCAAATGGCCTCGATGCCATCGGCATCCATCCCGTAACAACGCAGATAAGATGCACTTGAACTTTCTGTCCAGAGGCTTCCCTGTGCTTCGCTCTGCTCCACCCAGGCCTTTCTCTTCCCTCCCTTCGGTCTCAGGCTCTGTTCTGCCTCTAGGAGTTACCTGAGCTGATCTTCAGATCAACACAATGTGCCAACTGTAGGCTCCTGAGGTGTCTGAGAACTTTGGAACCAAGGCCAGGTGTCTCATCAGCCACTGACAAAGGCACGGTTACCAGATCTGGGTTTAATCAGTTTGGACCATATGGCTCTTATCTAGAAATTCTTGCACGTGCAGTGGTGGTAAGTCAGGGCTCAGCACTTTGGAGGTGGTCAAACAGACTACAAATATAACGATGAATGAACGAATAGCTAGCTACACCACGCCTGCATTAAAACAGGCCAGTCCCTCTGCAATAAAGAACTGTAAGGCCAAAACAGACTCAATTCTTTTCAAAAGCACAACTCTTTATAACTGCCACTTACTCTAGTTTCAAATTTCTGGTTTCTCTGAGTGGAGAAAATGCACTTTAAAATTATCAGCATCCAAAATTCTCCAGGAGAAGCTCATTGGAGGCACTGAAAATAAGGCCTTTACTCGTCTGGGCAAGAAAACGCACAAGATTTCATACATACACTGTCAAGCCTGGCAAGAAAGATCTTAGCTGACTTCCACCCTTCCCACCCAACCCCAAGTAAATAGGGCATTTGTTTGTATTTCCACATTGGCTGCACCAACGAAAATACCTCCTCCACCTAGAAAAACAATCTGGAACATTCAGGCATGGAATATGAGGGCAAAGTTTCAGCACACACTGGAGCACCTCACAGAAAATGATTTTTCATAAAAGTCCATTCTGCAAGCACTTTCCCCCAGTTTACACTTAATACCTGGTTTCGTGTTTCTAGATCGCACAGGGACCAAGCTTTTTGTTTTTGTTCTTCTTTACTACAATTGGAACCAGAAAGAATCTTCCCATAGCAGGGCTTCAAAGTTTTACTTTGGGTTGGGCGGTGGTATTGTAAGCCTCTAACCCCAGCAACTGGGAGGCAGAGGCAGGCCAACTTGTGAGTTCAAGGCCAGCATGGTGTACAGAGAGAGCCAAGCGCCAGGACAGGCTCTAAAGCTACACAGAGAAACCCTGTCTGGGTGGGGGAGAGAGAGAGAGAGAGACAGAGACAGAGACAGAGACAGAGACAGGAAGAGAGAGAGACAGAGAGAGACAGAGACAGGAAGAGAGAGAGAGAGAGACGACATCCACACATTCCTTAATTTTCTGCTTTACACCAAATAGGTTCAGGAAAGGAGTTAAAAGCTATCTTGCGGTTAAGTGGCCAAGGAGGGGGGTTAGTGGCTTAAATTTAGAACCCGTAAAACAATGCAGGGAAACTTTCCATCTTGGAGAAACGCTACAGTTTGACTGCCTTTTGTTAAACCGTGTCTCATTAGCCACATACTCTTTCTAATCCTAACGCCCCAGTTCACTGGGAAGATCCGTACTTACATCTGAGCGATTCAGTTACTTGAGGGAAACTGGCGGGGGCACGGAAAACTACGGAAAGATTCACGCAGGACCCCGGTTTAACAGGTGGCTCTGGCCACCTCCCGTGTTTCAGCCTCGCAGGGGACACGGTCCCCACGCGCAGTCGGACGCCGATCCCCTCCCTAGGAGCCGGGAAAGGGCAGCGGGGGGGGGGGGGAGGGCAAAGCCTGGGAGTCAGGGACCCAACGCCGCGAGCCACTGAGCGCTCGCCCTCGGGAAAACCCCGATGTGGGAAGCCACGCGCCGCGACCCCTGAAGTCCCGGGATGAAGGCCTTTGGGTGGCACTGACCTCGGGGACCACGGGCGCCCCAGCTGCGAGCAAAGGACTTCTCCAACTTCTGAGACCTGGACCCGGTGCCCTCGATGATCCGGACAGCTGCTGCCGCGCCCCGCGACCGACCTGTCCCAGCTCAGCAGGGCAGAAGTCACCGAGCCAGGTCCCCTCCGTGGGCCGCAGGTGTCCACTCCGACTGCAACCCGCAGCGTTAACTCAGTCCACCCGTCCGCAAGCCGCGCACGCTCGCCGACTGTCCGGGACAGCCCGCCGCGCGCTCCCAGGGCGCCGGGCACCTCCCCGCCGCGCGCGCACAGTCGTGCGCGCTCCTCCAGCCGGCCGCACGCTCCGCATCTCTGCCGCGCGTTCCCGGCTTCTGGATTCCAGTCCTCCAGAGGTACTCTGCGCGCCCCCGCTATATTTAAAGGGCCAGAGCCTGAAACCCCTAGCTGCTCCTTTGGCCACTTTTCAAGGTTTTATTTTACTTTTGAGACTGAATGAAGGGTTAGCAATGTGGCATTGTTATGCGGATGTGCTTTTGAAGTCCTGAATGTGAAGGGACTTCTCCAGCAACTCTATGACCAACTTTAAGAGTTTCATTGGTGTTTGTCTTTTGAAATAGGCTTTCACCATTCAGGATGACTTCAAATTTGTGATCCTCCTGTCTCAGCTTCCTGACTTCTGGAATTACAGGCAGGCGCTCAACAGCAACAGTATCTTGAAGAGATTATTTTCATTTAATAATAACAAATGCTGACATTTATGGACTACTTATACTCTCAGACACGTAACAAACATTTCTTTTAATTCATTTGGACATTGCTTATTTTATTTTTTCCTATTTATTTTTTTGGGGGTAGATCTTTTTTGTTTGTTTTTGGTTTTTGAGGAAGGGGCTCACTATATAGCTTTGGCTGAACTCCAATTCAGAGAACTCCATCTGCCTGGTTGGGATTAAAGGTGTGTGCTACCACGCCCAGCTTTACTTAATTTTTAATGAGCTTGTAAGAACTGCATATGTTTGTGAGGTACTTATGAGATGTTCCCATACATGTGCATCTTGAATGGAGTTTTAGCAGAGTAAATATAGCCAGAGCTCCTCAAATAATAATTTTTTCCCATGAAAAATGTCAAAATTCTTGCTTTTTCTTTCTTTTCTTTTTCTTTTCTTCCTTTCTTTTTTTTCTTTCTCTCTCTCTCTCTCTCTCTCTCTTTTTTTTTTTTTTTTTTTGAGAACTTTGGTTTCCTTTGGTACATCCACTTATTTATTCATTTGTGTGTATCTGAGTTGCTGCACAAAAGTGAAGGTCAGAGGGCAAAAGTGAAGGTCAGAGGGCAAACCAGAAGCTGGTGCAGTCTTCCCAAACACGGGCTAGAAATCCAGGCTCATGGCAAGTGCCTCACCCTGACTAGCCATCTCCAGGGCCTTGTACTTTGTCCTCTTCTGGTCACTTTACAGAGAAGGGATTTTGAGGTAGCCAAGGCTGAAGAAACGCTGAGCTTTTGACCCTGCTGTTTGTGGCTGTGTCTTTTACCACTGGAAATACTTCTGAATAGCTAATAACAATAGCTAGTTGTGGGAGTCTTTTGTAAGCAGGTGGGAGTTAGTGTTACCAGTGAGAAAGCCAGAGGCATGTGCTTATTAATTGTAAGACTTAGTTTGTGTTTATACCCATTTCACAGAAAAACGAAGGGAGGAAGCAGCTGGCTGTACAAAAGGACTGGCTTACATGCGGCTGTCAGGGCTGAGTCCAATTCCTGGGTCATTAGATCATACGTTGGTCCTCCCCAGGAACAAGAGGTACCTGATTAAAGGGAAGAAAGACATTTTCTCTAATAACACATTGGCCTCATCTAGCGCCCTACACCTTTAATTAATGTTTACAAAACACTTTAATCTGCCCAACATGCTAGTTAATTAGGCAAGTATTATTATCCCCCTCTCTCTGAACCAAATCCAGAAAAGAATCTAATCTGACAGTTCCCCAATCCTTGGTGAATAAAGACCCAAGCTTTCCATTTCTGTTGGTTTTTTGTTTGTTTGTTCCTCTCACTCTTAAAATTTTGTCTCATATTTGTGTTAAGTGTGATTTTTTTTCTTTAGAGGTATATAATATTAAATGTTGTAGGTGGAAGGTAAAATGTAATATAGGTAATCCTTGTCTTTAAGAAAGCATGTCAGAGCCACTGTGGAAATCAGTATGGTGGTTTCTCAGGAAATTGGGAATCAACCTGTCTCACTTTTGGGCATATACCCAAAGGATGCACACTCACACCACAAGGATGTTTGCTCAATTATGTTCATAGCAACAATATTCATAATAGCCAGAACCTGGAATTAACCAAGATGCCCCTCAACCAAAGAATGGATGAAGAAAATGTGATATATTTACACGATGAAGTACTACTCAGTGGTTAAAAAAACAAAACAACAACAACAACAAACAATGACATCTTGAAATTTGCAGGCAAATGGAGAGAACTAGAAAAAGCCATCCTGAGTGAGGTAACCCAGACCCAGAAAGACAAACATAATATGTACTCACTCATAAGTAGATATTAGACATAAAGCAGAGGATAACCAGCCTACAGGTCACAACCCCAGAGAACCTAGGTGACAAAGAGAACCCTAAGAGATACACATAGATCCACCTGGGAAGGGAAAAAAGACAAGATCTCCTGATTGAACTGGGAGCATAGGGAGTGGGGATGGAGTGGAAGAGGGGACCCTCAGAGGAGGGAAGGGGAGTGGGGGAAATGTATCGCTCAATAAAAAAGAAAGAAGGAAAAGAAACGAAATCAGGTCAGGACTGGTATGGTGGGACATGCCCTTAGTCCCAGCACTCAGGTGGCAGAGTCTGGTGGATCTCTGTGAGTTCGAGACCAGCCTGGTCTACAGAGTGAGTCCTGGCCAGCCAGGGACACATAGTGAGATCCTGTTTCAGACAAACAAAAAGAAAATCGATCAGGAAAACCAAACCAAAACAAAACAAAAAACCAGGCATTTTGATAAGTGCTTTCCAGGACTTCTTTTCACCGTTATTATTCTTCTTTCTAAGTTTTTCTTTGGGGTATGTCTTTTTAAAGTTTTTGTGGTGTGTTTCTTTCTTGTAGATGATGTAAAAGGGAGGAGACAGAAGGATGATGGAATTAGGAGGGAAAAAGGAAAAGATAGAAATGGGAAGGCCACAAACAAGAAAGCAGTTGAGACTGAGAGGAAATGTCATCCAAGAGGCCCCGCCCACTCGAAAATAGCAGTGTTTGTGAGAATTAACCCTGAGTGCCTTTACAGACAAACAGGGACTGGCTTAACTATGGAGACACATTGGCGTCCACTCCCCAAGCAACTCTTGTCAAGACACCTTTGTGACAACCAGATATGCACACACTGGACATAGATTGTGAGAAAAGACAAAGTGAGGTGGAAGAAAAAAATATATGCAGTTTAGAAGGGCCTTTAAGGATAGTTATCCATAAAAAAAAAACTTAATCTCACTCTCTTTTCTCTGAGAAGTTGCTCTGTTTCTGTCACAGTCTGTCTCTTCTCTCTTTCCTTCCTTTACTCCCTTACCAATAAACTTTCCACATAAAAAAAAATAATAATAATCTCAAGGAAGGAAACCTCTAGAACAGTGGTTCTCAACCTTCCTAATGCCTCGACAATTTAATACAGTTCTTCACGTGGTGACCCAACCATTACTGTAATTTTGCTAGTGTTATGAACGTGATGGAAATATCTGTGTTTTCCAAAGGTCTTAGGCAACGCCCTGAGGGGTTGAGACTCAGACTGAGAACCACTGTCCTCAAAGGCATTGTCTATAGTAATCTTACTGTCTTTATTTTTCAAGGCAAGGTTTTACCATCCTGAATGCTGGGATTATAGATGTGTACCTGTGCTCTAGTGTTCCCCCACCCTACCCCCCCTTTTTTTTTGGTGGTCCTGAGGATGTTGCTCAGAGCTTTGCATGCCATAGGCCAGCACTACCTGTGAAATACAGCCCTAGTCTAAGTCACTGCTTTAAAACTCAAGAAATGTGCTAAGCAAGGTGGCAATTGCCTTTAATCCCAGCAACAGAGTAGCAGACTATTTCTTTGTGAGTTGGATTTTAGCTTGGTCCACATAGCTAGTTCCAGAATAGCAATGGTTAACTACATAGTGAGACCCTGTCTCAAAAACAAGCAAATACAAAAAAACTGAGGGCCAGGGAAATGGCTCAGCGACTAAGAGCAGTGGTCTCTGTTGCAGAGGACCGGTTGGATTTCCAGCATCCACGGTGGCTCAAAGCTGCCTGTTACTCCAGGGTTGGGGATCTGAGGCCCTCTTTCCACTTCTGCAGGCACCAGGCACCCTCGTAACTGTAAAACTTACTTTGAACTCCAATTTGTTTTCCTTCATAGTGCTGGCATTTGAACCTAAGACCGCTAGACAAGTCCTCTTCCATTGCTGCAGCGCCGCCTTCTTCCTATTAGTATTATTGTACATAATGTCTTCTTAAGTTGGCTTTTGCTCAGATCATGCGTGTGCTGCAGTTTGTCTCCCAAGCCCTGTGTTCAAGCAGCCTGTGGTGCCTTGGAAGTAATGGGAACTTTAAGAGGTGGGGACTAGTGGGAGGAAAATAGGTATTGTGGACGTGTCTCTAGACCACTTATTGGGACACTCACTCCAAGGGCAAGGGCAGCCTCCTATTTGGCTTGGCTGTCTCTCCTTTGTCTGTCTGGGTGGGACCAGGCTGTGAGGAGAAAGGTCTTTTCTAGAAACGATGGTGCTGGAGCAAAGGTATTAGCTGCCCTGCCCAGGGTTTTGTTTGTATCCTCAATTCAAAGCCTGAAGTATGATCAAGGGATATCTCAGTTGAAAAGTGCTGGCCTAGTTTGCAGGAACCCCCAGGTCACAGATCATCACTATATAAACCGAGCATAGTGGCTTAACATCTGCAATTCCAGCACTCAGGAGTGGAGGCAGAGGAATGAAGAATTAGAGTCTTACTTGGCTACACAGAAGAGTTCAAGGCGAGCCTGGGCTGCCTGGGACCCTGTTTCAAAAAATAATACTAGGGTTATCATCCATATCCACATCCACATATTCATGTTTAATATTCTGGAGAAGTTGCTGAATTATATTCCAGGGTAAACAACCCCCCACCACACACACAATTGGAAAACTTTGCTGTTCATTGTCCAGGAGGAATGGAGATAGGAATTACATAC